TGTGGCTATCCACAAAGCTCCTTCGGGTCAATCGCCCGATTAAGAAGTTGGACCACCACTTCATTGGTCCATTCCCTATTGAGGCGGTCATCAATCCTGGCGTGTATCGACTCACCCTGCCACGCTCCATGCGCATTCATCCTGTCTTCCACCGTTCCCTTCTGGTTCCTGACTCCCCATCGTGTACACTTTGTTCTCCCAGAGGTGCGACTTCTCTATTGGTACCCAGCGATGAGACCGCCGCTGATGACACGGTTGTCAGTGTTCAGGATTCTCGCTGGTTGAAAGGACGCTTTCAGTACCTCGTCGGGAGGATGGCAGATGGCTCGGAGGTTCTCTCTTGGGTGGATGCTTCCACGGTTCGTGCTTCGGACCTTATCCGGAGGTTCCATGAACACTTCCTGTCGAAACCGCATCCAGTTCATCAGACTCGGGGGAAGGGCCCTGCGGTGAGGGATAGTGTTGTGACTCCGAGACTTGAACCTGATCAGTCAGCAGATGCGGGTTCGAGCAATGAAGACGATCTGGCACTGAGATTCGAGCCTGCATTATTAAGTGACTTAGAGGGGAGTCAAGTAGAGGGAGAGGAGTTGGATTTGAGATATGAGCCTGATTTATTGGAGGATTCAGAGTCCACTCTCTCCCCTGAATCTACTTCCCTAATTACACCTCAGGTGTTAACTGTTAATCAGGAAAGTGTATCAGAGACTTCAAGCTGTGATAAAACTGCCGGATGCTGGCTGGATGCCAGAACTAGGAGAAGATTGAGACGTCAATCTCAATTAGAAAAGAGACGTCCAGCAAAGGATTAATTAATGCGACTGACACGCCCTCTCTTAGAGGATATAAGGGAGCGTACGAGTTTGTAACCTTTGCTGGAAACAAAGTGAATTTTGCCTTGGAAAGACTTGCGTCTGATTACTGCATTGTGATTTACGAACTATACAGAATTGCCGGATAGATTCTAGGAGGATTGCCAAAGGACTGTGATAACAGAGCAATTGAATCTTCCGTCTCTGGTTTTGTTTACGTAAAGTATTTGAACTCTGTAACTTGAAGTTTTCATCTGTGGATACAGGTGGGACAGAACAACTATGTATAGTAATGGGCCTCTGTGGCGCAGTGGTTAGAGTGCAGTACTGCAAGCTACTTCTGCAGCTAGCTGTCTACAGTTTGGCAGTTCAAATCCCACCAGGCTCAAGGTTGACTCAGCCTTCCATCCTTCTGAGGTGGGTAAAATGAGGACCCAGATTGTTGGGGGCATTATGCTGACTCTGTAAACTGCTTAGAGAGGGCTGTAAAGCACTATAAAGTGGTATATAAGTCTAAGTGCTAAGTGCTATAGCCTATCAATTCCTTCACTTTCTCCTTAGAATCATAGAATCAAAGAGCTGTAGAGATCTTCTATCTAGACTAGTCCCAGACTGTTCATGGCAGGAGCTTTATATATCCCAGTCAAATGGTTGACCCATCTATTTTTGTAAACCTCCAGTTATGGAACATGAGCAACCCCAGGTGGCAAGCTATTCCACTGATTAATTGCTCTCACTGTCAGAAAATTTGTTCTTACTTCTAGGTAGGATCTCTCTTTAACAAGCTTCCACAATTATTTCTTTTCCTGCCCTCTGATGCCTTACAGAATAAGTCAATCCCCTCTTCTTTGTGACAGCACTTCAAGTACTGGAATACAGTTAGCTCTGTGCTGATACTTCAATAAGCTAGACATAGAGCTCCCTCAACCATCACATAATTTAACCTCCAGACCAGAGGTGGTACTCAGCAGGTTCTGACCAGTTCTGGAGAACCGGTAGCGTAAATTTTGAGTAGTTTGGAGAACCAGCAAATACCACCTCTGACTGGCCCGTCCCAATCTATTCTCTTCCTCCTGAGTCCCAGCTGATTGGCTGGGTCTTCTTTTGTTGCCCTGCACAGGAGAACGGAGCTGGAAAGCAGGTAAGTGGGGTGGGGAGGGAATGGGATTTTGCAGTAACCTTCCTCCAGGAGTGGGGAGGGAATGGGAATTTTGCAGTATCCTTCCCCTGCCATGCCCACCAAGCCACATCCCACCCATCAAGCCATGTCCACAGAACCAGCAGTAAAAATTTTTGAATCCCACCCCTTTTTCAGACACTTAATCATGATTGTTGCTCTTTTCTGCACACATTTCAGGGTCTCTTTTTTGTATCATGACCAGAACTAGATGCAATTTTCTGATTGTCTTGACACTATCACTCTGTTGATGCATCCTAGCAGTTGCAGCACATTGCTAGCTCATAATTAAGTGGTGCTCCACTAAAACACCTAGATCCCCATCACAATTACCACTGTTAAGCCAGGGGCTGTTTATTTTATAACCTATGTATTTGGTTTTTCCTGCCTAAACACAGGACCTTACTTTTCTCACCACTGACCTACATCTTATTGGATGGAGCCCAGTGTTCAAACCAAGATCATTCTGGGTCCTGAGCCTATCTTCTAAAGTGTTGGCTATTCCACCCACTTGGCATCATCTGCATGTTTGATTAGTTCCCCTTCTATCCCATCATCTAAATCATTTATGAAGATGTTGAAGAGCACTGGATTGAAGACAGAACCTTAAGATACCCCACTGTCAGCCTCAAGATATCTTCTACATCTTTTCTGCATCTTCTCTGCTGCTATGCTCACTGCTTTCTTTCGGCTGTCATTAGCATTGGGGGGAGGGGGGGACTTGGAGGGGAAGAGAGCTGGAGGTGTTACATTCTTCTGCTGTGGGTAAGAAAGAGGAGGGGGTGTATAAATTCTTTTCTTTAACTTTCTATTTCCTTGCTAGCTTTCTTTCCCTTTGCGCAGCTGCGAAGTTTTATCAAAATATGTCAAGGTCAACGGACAGAGGCCTCATCACCACCTGAAGATGCCCACATGATCATATTCAGAACTTTTAATTGGAAGAGTCATTTGGACTTTGGGGGGTGGGAACAATTCCATTTCTTCGTATGTGTGATCTGCGCGCCAAATCCTTTAGATTCAGAATTCAATCTGTAGCTTCCACTTTGATTTCCAGTAAAAGGAGAACTTTGCTCTAATTCATGGAGTCTGAGTATTTCTTTCTTGGATCTTGAAGGGAGCACACACTGACACCCACTTCATATTTCACCCGTCAATGTAGTTGCATTGAAGACTACCTGCTGAGTGTGGTTGGTCAGTCAATTTCAAATCCATCTGGTGGTGGAGTCATCTTTTTCTTTTTCCCAAGCTTCAGTAACTAGGATTTATTTATTTTATTTATTTGATTTGTCAATCGCTTACAAGGTGATGGATATAAGTATAAACATGAGTAAGAATACAAGAAATAGGTACAAATAAATGGGGACAATAGGACAGGGATGGTGGGCACTAGGTCAGGAAAAGCAAGGGCTTAAATCTTAATGGGTGTCAAAGTATTTTAACTTCTCAGTGAAAGTGAAAAAATGTGTCTGTGTATAGGAGAGAGCCTCTATTTTAGCAACCTTTCTTCAAAATTTCACCCCACTCTGCAGTGAAACTTCAAAATAGTTTTCACTGACATCAGTGGGAGCTGTTTTAAGTTTCATTATAGTGAAGGAGTATTCACTCTTGGTGTGTTTTAATGTGATTCCAGGCATATGCAAACAAGACACATACTGTTGGGATGTGTTTTGCCCACTTTGGGCTTTGCTGCTATTCCTTCCTGGTACATTACATCAACATACTAGTCCAAGCCAAATAAGTCTTCAAGTTGAAATACATTTCTTATGTTGCTTAAATTGTGGATAATGTACATGTCTATAATATAAACTACATATATAAGTCATGCATAAGAGAATGTTTTTACATACATGTTTTTACATTGTGAATGAACAATTTTGCTAATATATTTTATTTATTTAGTTGCCAAATATATATCGCTGTCCATGTCATGTGTTTTGGTTTGATTCCCAGCACAAATCACAAATCCTACCAATAACAATTAATTAGTTGTTAGAGGGTTCATGTTTATATATAATGCTTACACTGCTGTCATCCTCAGGCACACACACACACACATGTTACCAAGATTTCACAACAAATGGAGACAAACCTTTTGAAAACCAGCTTCTTACAGCTGCATAGACATGTTTCCTCCTGCTTCTTCTTAGATATCAAGATTCTGTGCAAGTGTTAAGTTGCCTAGAAGATCTCACCTTTCGAGATGACAATATTATTGGACAGTCCCTCTTCATTTCAGGCTGTCTGAACATTATACTTTATGCTGGTAAGTCCTTTAAACAGTATCTAAAATGCATGTTTAAAATAAAAAAAAACAAATTAAAAACAATTATATCTACCTTTTAACAAAATGTTGTCAAGGCGGTGTGTCTGTACAATAATTAAAAAACAAACAATAACATAATAAAATGATAAAAAAGAATAAGAAGTTATACAATGAACTGAAGAATGGAAACAAGGTTATAGTGTAATAGAAGATCTTTTTTAAATCTGAAAAGCAATAATCTGTGAAAAGACCTGTCATATCTCACAGAATGACGGCTATAGATATTTGCTCAGAATTAAACAGTACTGATTTCAGTGGACTGACTTAAAGGGAAAATGTAGAAATGAGGCTGTGCTCCAAAACAGATTGCTCTAGGAATCCGCACCTAGGAGATTCCATGAAGTGGGCTGCTTCATGAAACCCTAAAAATTACTACTTGGGAGCTGCCTTTGTGCTTTATCAATTTACCCTAATCTCTGAACTCTCTTGTTCAGAGTTCTAAAAAATTTAAAGTCTACAAAATCACTTATACATCACTAAAATTAAATGTAATTTACATTATTAAGTATTCCACATAACCCTAGAAGGTAAATCACTATCAATGTTAACAGTAACATATAATCAGAAAAAAATCTGTTAAGGAATCCAAATTGTAACTTGTTAGCCTTCACAATCACCTGCTAACAAGTTTCACCCAATAGTCAGTAATGTGGCCAAGTCTTGGTCATATCCATATACTCCATATATACCAGGAGTTGAGATTGAAAGCTTTATTTCTTAGACACAGGATGAACTTGGGAAATACAATTTCAAGTGAAGTATCACCTAAATATGTAACTTTAATAGTAAAGTTACATATTATTTTAATATTAAGGACTTTGTGAAAATATAGAAAGGTCAAAAAAGTTCATTTTAACATTAACAAATTAGCCAAAGTGATTACCATCAGAAAATTTTGAAAATAAAAGAACACCAGTATGAGATACTCTCATCCTAGAAGAAATTCTCTCTTTTCACACTCATGGCAAATTAGGGTATCTTGCAGAATTTCCACTTGATCCAGGAGCAGAAAGACAAAAAGTTCCAAGTATCAGAGAAGAAAAGCTTTATTAATCAGATCCAAATATTTTGACATAAATTTTTCAAGAGCAAACCTTGAAAACTTGTTAGGCCTCATTAAAAAAACATAGCGTTTTTATCTGTTTCTCTTTTCTGATCTTTGACTTTTTGTGTCTGGCCTACTAGTGTTGTTATACTAGGGTCAAACCAAGTAATAATTTTATTGGGCACAACTTTAACCTCTTCAAGATTGAGTATGTTTAGGTTAAAGGGGGCTATAAAATAAAGAATGATGCAAGATAATTTTCAGCCATGCTTAGGTCCCAACAATGCAGCTTTATATATTTAATTGTTACTTTTTTCTGGCCTATTATCAAGATCCCAATTCTAAATATGCTTCTTTCTCTATATGCCCAGAGATATTAACATATTGCCAAAAAGGCATTGCAGATCTGCTGATATTTGCTATGCATACAGTATTACTAGATTCCATGAACAAAGAGTTGTTCCACTGAGTTTTTCTTCAAGTGATGCACTGTTACTAATGTTGATATATGTTATCTACTCTGTGCTATTGAACATTTGGAGATGTTCAACTTTTACTGGAATCATAGCCAGCGATACATGCTTAATAATGCTTTTTTTCCCCCTAGGATTTTGTTTTAAGCCATTTAAGTACTGCCAGGATTTTATTCTCGCTAATGAAACAAACTGCATACTTATGTCTCAGAACAACATCATGTTGAGCTTGTATTCTTCTCTGGCAATTTGGTAACTTTAATTTTTTGTAATGCTGTTATATGACATTATAATTTTTTCCTTTTTATGTTGTAAGATAGAAATTTATAGGTTGATCCATGGCTTACTGGAACTCAGTGTTACTGTAGGAGACTGCACTGTTCTTTATGGATGCGTGTATCTGAATCTTTCTCTGATCGAAGCAATGATTAGTGAAACATATTTTAAACTGTAACAGAAACGGGATTTTCTGTGAAAAAGTAATAAAGGGTTGATATAGAAAAGAAATTAATTCTCTACATGTACCCCACTTATTTCATGTGGTTTTTTTAAGTCATGAATTGCCAAATAATCAATTACACACTTTCTACTAGCCACTGGTGCACACCAAATTAATTAATTCTTATCTGATAGTAAGTTGTTTAACTGAATTTAATTAAATGAATAATTGAGTCAGCTGGAACTTTTTGTATTGTATGACAAAAAAAAATCTATAGTGGATTTCCAAAGACTAGTGTTGCCAAGACTAATGTTGTAATTCTAATGCTCAATCTTATAAACCACATTCCTATTAATTTCCATCATCCATTTCTCTTTTTCCAACATCAGTTTGTTTTTGGAGAAAATAAATAGATTTCTAAACTACCTTAAATATGGAAGGAGTGGAGAGTATAAAAATATCATACATTTTTGACCTTGATGTCCTTTCATTCTGAAAACTCATGTTTCTATATATATCACTAGAGAAGGGCTGACTCTCCTTCTACCTAACATGTGAGTTTATCATCTAGGTTTGCCAGACTTCAGCAGTGGGATAAATTCATAATACCATTTGAAAAAGCAAGGCGGTTGGTGAGGAGAACAAGCGCTTCACTCTGTTCTAACCATGGATTCTGTAAGTTGGTGGAGTGTGAGACTCTGTTATTAAGAAAATATATAGAAGAGAGGCCTGACAAAGTTCGTGAGATGCATAACAGGATAACAAAGGTGAGGAATTCAGAGATGGGTATGCAGAAATTTATTTACTTATTTAGCAATTTCTAGCAAGCACAAACAATGAACTGACAAATCAGCCCTCTATTTTCATAATCAGTTTCTAATTTCACCTAAAATCTCCTTTTTTGTTTTACTTAGCAGGTATTAAATGATAAGCATTATTATTTTAACAGCAACAAGAAGTTTGGCTTAGGATAACTAAAAATAATTATTTCCAATACTTCTTCTAAAACCCACAAAATTGGATTTTAATATATACCACGTTTCCCCCAAAATATCACCTACCCCAAAGTCAGTCCTAGCTTGATTTTTACATGTGTGACCAATACAAGCCCTACTCCAAAATAAGTCCCAATTAAGACCCCGTCCACTCCAGGATGCCCTGGATAAAAATTAAGCTAGGGTGGGGATGGGGGGGGGGGAGTTGCCTTACTATTTACCTTCAGACAGTTGCAGCCAGGCCTTGCGCATCCTGACACCTGCCTTCCTGCCCCATTTCTTCTGCAGCCAGCAGCCTTCCTGAAGGCCTCTGCAGCTGATTACATATCTCTGGATTGATCCAGAGCTCTTTTATCTGCTGCAGACGCCTTCAGGAAAGCCTTGCCAGCCACAGAAGTTCCTGAAGGCCTCTGACAGTGAAAAAAAGGCCAGGGATAACACACACAAGTGAGTCAGTGGATGACATCCCCCAAAATAAGACCTGGTGCCTTTTTTGGTGACAAAAAAGAATATGAGTCTTATTATGCCTATTATGATCCTTACCTTATAAGCTGGTTTTAGCCATTATGGTGACAGTGGTTCTACAATCTAAGGAAGGAATTGGGATGGCTTGTGATCCTGGTAATTTATTTATTTGGCTTTCCTATTTGTATAGTGCTAGAATCCAAATTATGATAATGTCTTTTTTAAAAATCCAGTATATCTGAATCAAAAGATTGGGAAAGCTCTTTCTATTGAATATCTGCTGGATAAAGACTTTATAGCTCAAAGGTAACTCTAGGGTGAACAGGGGACAAGGGTTTTGATTTATTTCCCGAAAGGGTACTGCTAATAAACTGCTCCTTGCTGTCTGTATCTTCTGTATTTCATTTTAGAACATAGAATAACAGAGTTGGAATGGACTTTAGAAGTTTTCTAGACATTCATGTGTCCAACCTCCTATTTATTCTGGACACATGATTATCATTCTCTTCTTGAAAATCTCTAGTGATATAGCACCCACAAATTCTGGAGGCCATCTAATTAATTTTTCTCACTCTCAGAAAATTTCTTTTTAATTCTAGCTTGGATCTCTCTTTAATAACCTTCCATCCATTATTCCTCATCCTGTCCCTGGGTGCTTTGGAGAATAGATTGGCCCCCTCTTCTTTGTGATACCCCCACGGGTATTGAAATATTGCTATCATGTTATCCCTAATCCTTTTTGCTAGATAAGACATCCCTAATCATTCATTAGCCCCCAGACTCCTAATTCTTCCTCTTTTCTGCATTCTTTCTAGAGTCTCAACATCTTTTCTCTATCATAACGACCAGAACTAGATGCAGTATTCCAAGTATGGTCTTATCTTCTAAAGTGTTGGCTATACCTCCCACTCTGTAAATTTGATGAGTTCCCTTTCTATCACCTCATCTGCATAGAACATAGAATAAAAGAGTTGGAAGTTGTTTTTTTAAGTTTTATTGATTTTAACAACAAACAAAAACACATAAAACATAAAACATAAAAACATCATCCTTTCCTTCATGAGTTTACAGACAATGTATCGGTTGGTTTACCACTTTTTTTTTGTGCATCCATTTCGTAGTCGCCATTGTAGTTATATTACATAATAGCTCATATTATCAATCAACAATTATATAGCCTGATATCATTATTAAACAATCATTTGACTATAATTTTATTAATTCATACTTTAATGAGATAACTATAATTTACTTAATTTATTTTATAACAAATCATAAAATCTTGCCAAGTTATCTTAATAAAATTTTATAAAGATAGTATCAAAAAAAGAGAAAAAAAGAAATATATATTCATTATTTCCTAAGTTTCTAAATATTCTATTATTATATTTTATTATCTAGCCATTGATAGAAAAGGTCCCAAACTTCATAAAATTGTTTATCCTCTTGTTCTCTAATTTCAAATGTCAATCTACTCATTTCAGCACATTCCAATATTTTCTTAATAATTTCTTCCTCTGATGGTATTTTCTCACTCTTCCAATTTTTAGCAAATACAATCCTAGCCGCGAAAGAGTTGGAAGTTTTGTAGTCTAGACTTGAAGGTCTTCTAATCCAATACCCTGCTCAAGCAGGAGACTTATACCATTGCAGACAAATGGTTGTCCAGTCTCTTTTTGAAAGTCTCCATTTATGGAGCATTCACAACTTCTTAAGGCAAGATATTTCAATGGTTGATTGCTCTTTTGATTGGATGGAACTATTTTTTTTCCTTAATTCTAAGTTGCTTTTCTCCTTGATTATTGCCATCCACTGTTTCTTGCCTTGCCTTTTGGTGCTTTGGAAAATAGTTTAACTGCCCCTCCCCTGTCTTTGTAGGAGCCCTTCAAATATTGGAACCATGTTATCATCTCTCCCCTAGTACTCCTTTTCACTAGACTAGCCATACCTAATTCCTGTAACTGTTTTAGTCTTCAGCCCCCTAATCATTCTTGCTCCTCTTGTCTGCACTCTTTCTAGAGTCTTGACATCTTTTTTATATTGTGGTGATCAGAAGTGGATGAATATTCTAAATGTGGTCTTGCTAAGGCTTTGTAAACCAGTACTAGAATTACATATGATCTTGGTTCTATCCTTCTATTAATGCAGCCAGATTGCATTGGTTCTTTTGGCTGCTGCCACACACTGTTGGCTCATATAAGTGATTGTCCACTATGACTTCAAGATCCCTCTCACAGTTACTGGCATTAAGCCAAGATTCACCTAGCCTATAGCTATAAAGTTGGTTTTTCTTGTCTAATTGCAAAACCTTACATTTATTTATGTTGAATTTCATTTTTAGATAGGTTTTTTGTTTACGTTTGCCAAGGTCTTTTTTGGATCTTGAGCTTGTCTTCTGGGGTGTTGGCTATTCCTGCCAGGTTAGTGTCATGATGCGTTCCCCTTCTATTTCCTTGTCTAGATTGTTTATGAAAATATTGAAGAGTACTGGGCCTAAAATGGAACCTTGGGGTACCCCATTACTTCCTTCTCTCCATGTGGATGTAGTCTCTCCATTGAGGACTACAGGTTGAGTATGAATTGTCAGTCAATACGAATCCATCTGGTGGTGATGCTAACTCACATTTTTCTAGCTTCCTAAGAAGTAGGTTATTATCTACTTCATCAAATGCTTTACAGAAATCTAAGTATACTATATCCACAGATTTTGCTGGTCCATTAATTTATTTACTAATTCACTTTGCTGAAAAATGCAATAACATTTGTTTGGCATGATTTGTTTTTTGATGAACCATGTTGGCTACTGGTGTTCACAGATTTGTTGCTTGATTATCTTTTCCAAGATCTTCCGAGATGATTGGTCTGTAATTTCCTATATCTATTTTTTAACCTTTTTTTGAAGATGTGGGAACCACGTCAGCTCTTTTCTAGTCCTCTAAGTGCTCTAAGACAGGGGTGGGATACAACAGGGTTAACTACTGGTTTGGGATTTACGAGGTTCGGTGATTTATGATGTGTTTCGCTATACGCTGCGAGCGGGCAGCTGTAATCATCGCCTGTAAATCGTCATCAGCACGCTGAGTACAGAGAAGCAGCCTTTGAAACAGCCCTCTTTTCCTGCTTTTTAAACTGCAGCTGTGCCTCATTCGGCAGCTGAAGTTGAAAAATCAGGAAATAAAGATCAGGTAAGAGCCCAGGTGGGTGGGTGGGCAAAAACATCAGCAGACATAGAACCGGTTCTATGTCTGCTGCTCTTCAGAGTTACTGGTTCTACAGAGGTAGACAGAATCGGTAGAAATCCACCCCTGCTCTAAGAACTTTGAAAGATGTGTTTCAGTGGTTCTGAAATCACATCAGTTTCATCCTTTTGTATAAAAACATTCTTTCACAAAAAATGAATTTTAAGCATTTCTGCTTTTTTCCTCCTATCCATTATTTCCTTGCCTTCTTTTTCCATTAGTGGAATGATTGTTTCCTTGACTTTTTTTCTTATTTTTCAATTCTGTTTTAGTTGTATCTGTCTTTCCTTTTCTTTATATTTGTCCTTTTTGTCTCTCAATTTACCAGAGAATTCTTTATGCAACTATAATTTTTATAATTTAGTTTTCTACATATGAAGTATAACTTCATAATTTACAGCCATCATTAACTATATCATTATTGTGATCCTTTGAGTAAATTATGATCAGTCAAACAACAGTTTAAGGTGTTGTGCAAGTTAAATGAGACTTCCAGTGTATGGTCTCATGCATGTTCTGTATTCCAGCATTCAACAGCCTCAGTTACCATGGCCAATGATGAAGAATGCTAGCTAATGTAGTCCACAAATCTTTGGAGAGACATAAATGGTGCATTTTCATTCCAAGGTCACATAACAACTCAGGGTTTCTTTTAACCCTGGCACAAAGATGCTCCGCAAATAATTTTTAAATAATATCCTCATTACATTATCTACATCTGGTCCCCAGCCCAAATGAAGGTAGCTTATATCTGGATATTCCACCTTTCAAAATAGTGCTTTGTCCCTTTTCCGAAAGAATTTTTTCTCTGTGGGCATGATTTAGGACAGGGGCCACTAACCTTTTCGACCTCAGGGACCACTAAATTCATAATTTTAAATCCCATGGACCAGAGGCCCTGGGAAAATTCCAGAAAAGACTGCAGGAAAATTCCCCACCCCATTGTTCTACCGATCGATCAATCTTTACCATCTCCAGCTCCGTTCTCAGGGGGAGAGAGAGAGAGACTTTTGGCTTCATGCAAGGAAAGCAGCAGAAGCAGCAGAAGTCTTTCTCTCTCTTCCCCAA